TATGGATCGTTCACTGCGCGACAACAAGCTGCATAAAGCAATCCTAATGTGTTCGCACTCAGTCAATTTATAAAAAAATATTTGGAGTTTCACTTGTTGGTCGCAAAATGATATATATTAGTAAGATTGCGCATGCTTAACCACATTAAAACGTATATAATGCACATACTCAACCCTGTGTTACGTCCCACAAGTGTAAGAGCTGTTTTGTGAATAAAACCTCCAGGATCATGAAATAAGTTAGTTAAACACCTTGGGCGTCAGTATTTAGTCATATACTGCCAACTTTTGAATAATGAATAGCCAGTTTTTGTGCTATTCCGTCAACCTCTATCTATTCTGTGAGATATTCACAAACAGTCTTACAATAAAATCTTAAGCCGGACGAGAGGACGTGTTTTATTTAAAAAATATGACACATTCTTTATAAATTTAGTTGGCAAATATTCCCACAGACTTGTTCTGCAACCAGCCATTAAGATTTCAATTGAGGCAATTGGATGAGATCAGTACCTGTATCCTGCATGTACCACTTGCTCCTACATCCATTGGGTCCTCATTTTTAGTGTGAAGTTTCACTTTCATTTCACACTGTTGTGATGGCTGGCGAATTCACACGAATCAGTCAGTCAGTCAATCATAGAGTAAACTTTCCGGGGGGTGTATACGATTTATGTTTGCAGTGATTTATTGTACTTAGTCAGTGCTTTGAAGGTTATTTAAGCAATTTTATTTCTTTTTAAATATTCGTTTGCCAAGTTCACAAAAATTTCGAGGAATCGTTGTTGTTATTGTAAATTTTTGTAATTTTAGAACATTCGCTTCTTGTGTTGTGTAAACGATCTTTCCCCCAGAACACCTGATTTTTTCTATAGCAGTGCAAATGTGCATGCGCTATGAAGCCGTAGATCACGATGCTAGGTAGGAGCGACAGTGTTGTTTTCAAATGTATAAACATTTCAGACATGAATATTGAGTAAATCTATGAGAATCTACGCAATATATAAATTTATGTTATGCATGATGATCTTTCAATCAAGTACTAATATATGTAGACGGTATATTCATTATACAGGAAGGAGCGACAGTGTTGTTGTTTTCAAATGTATAAACATTTCAGACGTAAATATTGAGAATTTCTTTGAGATTCTAGGCATTCAATTGAGTGCCGATATTATTTTCACTGCGTACTCATTATACAGAGGTACAGTACGTAGGCAGAAGCGAGTCAGTGTTGTTTTCAAGTATCATTTCAGACATGAATATTGAGAAAATCTTTGAGATTCTACGCAATAATACAATATTATGTTATACATTTAATACCGGCATTCAATTGAGTGCCCATCGATATTATTTAGACTGTGTTTTCATTATACGTTGTCATTGACTGTATAAGGTGCTACATCACAGAATAGATGGCTACACTCAGTACAAAGAGCGAAAAATTGCATCAGATCTGTATCAGATCAATAAAGCATAAATTAAACAGAAGCGGGTAAACGTTTTTACGGCGTTTACGAAGAAAGTAACTTGCAAGACTAAAGAAATCAGTTGAGTCAGAGCTCCTTATTTAAATAAGAAAGACGAGGAGATATCCAATGTGTTATCGCCAACGTGTTATCGCCAATCACTTGCTCGCCAACAAGCTTTATGCAATAGAAGAAAAAACCAAGGAGGTACATGAGGCCAACGTGTACCGTCACGGACCTTGTCTTTGTTTACTGTGTCTAGCACACCGCCGTTGTCAATGGTGCAAACTCTTGTTCAGTGCAACGATAACTCTACCAGATCTTATGAGAGTCAATCTGTAGTATTCTGTGCACAGAACTGTTCAAAGCTTGTCAAAACGGCTTTAAACACTGCTTAACTGTGAAACTATTAAAATCTAAAGTGACATTATTCAACACATGCGAAAAGCTGAAAATAGATGTGACACTGGGAAAAGTCAAAGGTCAATGAGACTTGTTATTGCAAAACATGTCGCAATGAGATTAAAATGTGGAAGCGGATGGAGCGGATCCACAGAAAGTATGAAACGGATGAGGATAAAATGCGTCCTTTTAATGATGTAACAACGTAGTGCTTATTATTCATAACATATCTTATACAGCTATTTCAATTATAGTTTTAGATAAATTTAGCATAGCAGTAGCCTCGTGGGGATGCTTTTAGCGACAGCTGCAAATGCAAATGAAAATTTAGAATATGCAAATTTTGGTTGTTGGTGAAACAATTTAAATTTTGAATTGTCTTGTGTAGCATATATATATCACAATAAATAGATAAATTGCATCAGTTTCACAAAGCACGTTTCTGGTGTGTTAGGCTTGTTTCAAATGTCACGCTACTCGTGTGCCGAGCGTATTAAAAGCAATGAATGAGATGAAATGCCTTTGGTAACTGTTTATTTCATAGTGTAAGCCATCAGCTTTTCTAGGTTGTCAGCGACCCTATATAGTTCTTGCAGTGTCTTTTTCAATTTGAAACTTCACACTATCCTTGGATCCCTAGTTGATATACCTGATGTAAAAATACAGCTAAGAGCATGCAGTAAACATAAAACCAGGACCTTTTAAAACCAGGATCTTTATCACTGTGCCATTAACGTTATTTAACGTTTGAACAAAGAAAACTAGGTCAGTTTTAGAGAGAGAGCATGTATACATAAAACTTCATTGGAGGCAGGGAGCCTCCCTCCCCACCCCAACTGCATGTGGAACTCGCATAATTTTTATAATAAAGTCGTTATTTTTGTGAAATAATAACCATTTTTTTAAAATACAGTCAATTTAGATCCAATTCGTTTGCGAATTTGCTTTAGAAAACATCTACACATAAGAGTGCATAAAATGAAACAGTAAGTGTTGTAACTCAAAAAGTGTTATTATTATTATATTATTGATGAATATTTTAACAGGATAAAAACGTCAGTTATGTAAAAATCAAATAATTAATATTAAATAATTAATTACAAAAACTGCTATCAATGTTTGTCCTGTAAATTAAAGTCTCAAGAATAACAAAAATAGGTAGCCAAAAAGTTAATAAATAAAGCCTAAAAATTACATAATTATATAAGAATGGACAAATAGGATAAAATATCTTAGAAACAGGGTCTTAGCTAGAAGGCCGTGTTGGCCATGTTTGCACGGCTAAAAATGAAAAAACACGGCAAAATAAAACGAACACGGCTTGGTTATTTAATATAAAGCCGTGTTGCTGTCGGTTTAAAACATGAAATTAAAGACAAAAATTAGCGATAATAAGTATTTAAATATACTATTATTAATATGCCTAAATCCACTAATATTTATTTCTAAATACTTTACAAAAAAGATACTGAATTTACTCTCGTCAATTTATAAAATCTGTGGTTTTGATGTTTACAAAATATAAATATGGCGTCCTCATGTGAGGCTACTTCATGTAAACTTTAGTGTTTATCAATTTAAAGTCTCACATGGCCACATGGCGGGAAAATGTGGGAAGAATTTATAGCAATATGGCGTCACAGAAACGAGACATAAGAGCTTTTTTCACTTCTGCCCAAAGGTATTTTATTTATATCTTGTACTGACGTTCTACTCAAACACTGAAATAAGTTTTCTTGAATATTTAATAAATTACTATCTGACACCATTTGCATTTACAATCATTTACATAACAAAACATCAATAAATTTGCATGTTTGCATAATTGCATGTTGTGATGTTGAATGCACTCTTGATTCTACAATCTACAGTATATCATTTTGGATAATTAACAGGCCCGAAGCACTGGAAGCAGTGGAAGGAGTATCAAGAAATTCAGATAATTCTGTCGATGAATTAAACGATCATCTAGATGAAGATCATGAAGTTGCAGTGAACTTGGAAATGGACTCTGATATGGTAATGATAGTATTCTTTAAAACTTTCGTTTTCAACTTTTCATAGATAAGCCCATCGAGAACTAGGAAAGGCTACCTCGTGAATTTTCTTTCTAATTGCCATTGTCCTAATTTCCTACTGTCTGCTGAAATAACAAAATTTCAAAATTAATATTTTCATTTTACGAGTGCGTCAGCGACAAGGAAGAAGGTCAACCACTGCTTAAAAGAATGAATAGTTTACCTCCCAGAAAGCAAAGAAAAAAGGCAAGAGCACCTCCCGTATTTCCTAAAAAATGCCTTTCCAATCCTAAATATAAAGAATGGCTACGTTATGATGTGTAACATAACACAATGTGGTGTGATTTTTGTCGAAGTAACAAGATATGTGGAGTGTGGGCTGAGCAAGGAACACAAAACTTCAGGTGATTATATTTCTATCTGGTAAAAAACGTACGAATCCAACATTTTTTTAAAAATTTTAGTTACTTTCTCAACAAATTACAGGAAAAAACTCTTCTTGTCCACATGGCTAGCAATGATCATGCAAGATTTGCATTGGCCCGTAATCCAGCGCAAATCC